AGGCTGACATGATATTAGGTTTTCAAAGAACACTCTGGAAATAGACACTGAGAGGGCACAGAGTACAATCAGGGTGACCAATTAGGAAGTCATATAGTGATCTAAGAGCTGGCTAGAGGGGATGGTGACCAGAACCAGGGTGTAAAGAAAATAGTCAGATCCTGGATACATATTTGCATATAGAACCAAAAAGACTTCATGACTGAGTGAGATGTGAGAGAATGAGAGGAGCCAAGTATAATGCCAAGGTTTTTTACCTGAGGAACACTGGAAGGATGGAAGTTGCTATCAATAATTAGACTAGGAAAGCTATGTGGAGTATATATTTTTAGGATAGTTTCACTTTAGAGATGAGTATAGACACCCCACTTAAGATGTCCAGCAATCAGATATAAAATTCTATTTAATATATTCTTTTGAAGAATGTACATTTTATTCAGCCATTCCTCTATTGGTGGATATTCAAATTGTTTCCAATTTTTTACTCTTACAAAAAATGTTGTTCTAATATCCTTGTCTTTCTCTAGAATGTGTATATAGTTCCAAGTAGAACTGTTATGTTACAGAGTTAGAATTTAAAATACTGCCAAACTGTTCTTCAAATTCGCTGCACCAAATTGTCTCTACTGCACCAAAACTTAATATAAATATTGATCTATACTCTTTACATGTACACTCAATGTGAATCCCTGCTGTGTGCATTTCAAACACCTTAATTTACATTTTTGTGCTACCTTTTGATTTTGATGCAGTCAAATTTTTCTTTAATTTTAATTCTGATTCAGCAAATTTGTATTTTTTCTTCATGATTTATTAGGTCTTTTGTATCTTATAAGGAAGGTATACTCTACTGTGAGAACACTAAAAGCTTCCTATATTTTCTTTCAATACTTTAGAGTCTCATCATTGATGTTGAGGTAAAAATCTATCTGGAATTTACCTTGGGATATAGTAAAGGGTGAAATTTCAATTTTATGCTCCCTCATTTGTAAAATCAATGGTCCCAAACCATTTCATTTATTGACTACTTCATTCTTCCTCCATTGATATGTGATGCCTACTCAATCATACACAAGTTTCCAAATAAATCTTGATTTTCTAATCTTCCTATTGATCTGGTCCTGCACTCATACTACACTGTTCTAATTACATTAAGTCTTGATATCTGGTAGGAAAAAGGCCTCTGTTTCATTCATCTTCAAAATTATTGTAGCTATTCATTTACCATTATTCCCTCAAATAAATTTTAAAACCATTTTGTCAAGTTTCCAGAAAAATCTTCCTGGACTCTGAGTCTACATCCTCTTGGATATAATGTAATTAGAAATATGTTAAATTTATAGATTAATTTTGGATAATTGACATCTTTATAATTTTTAATCTTTCTCTCTATGAACAAACATAATATCTTCCCACTTATATTCAAGACCTTTTATGTTCTTCAATAATTTTTTTTAAATTTTTGTTCACAAAAGTCTTAGACATTTCTTGTTACATTTCATTGGTAGGTACTTTATAGTCTCCTTGTTTCTGAGAGTGGCATTTTTTCTAACTTACATTTTCTATTTATTGTCAGGACAAAGGGATACCATTGATTGTTCTGTAATGGTTTTATGTCAAGATTGCTGAACTCGATAAATAGATGTTGAACTCAGTTTCTTGGGGTTTTTATGTAAATTAATGTGGTAGTTAACTTTATGTGTCAACTTGACTAGGCTAAGGAATGCCCAAATAGCTGGGAAAACATTATTCCTGGGTGTGTCTGTGAAGGTGTATCTGGAAGATAAGCATTTGAAGTACTAGACTGAGTAAAATTGATTGCCCTCATCATCCCATCTATTGAGGGTCTGAAGAGAAGAAAAAGGTGGAAGAAGGGTGAGCCCACTCTCTCTGTTTAAGCTACAACATCCACCTTATGCCCCAAGGACATTGGTGTTCCTGGTTCTTGGGCTTTTAGACTCAGAAAGACTTACACCATCACCTCTTCTCCCCCGCCCCTTTTTAGACTTTGGGACTCAGGCTAAATTATACCACTGGCTCTCCTGGTTGTCCAGCTTGCAGGAAGCAGATCATAGGATTTCTCAGCCTCCTGTTATTTCTCTAGTAACATTTTAAAATTTTAATCTTTCAATCACCTCCCCAAATCTAAAATATCATTTCAACATGTCATCAACAAAAATTATTAATGAAATATTTTGCATTCCTATTTCTTACTAGTTTCTGAAATCCAATGTGTATTTTATACTTCCGGGACATCATGTCAGACTAGTTACATTTTATGTGCTCAACAGTCACATGTGGCTAGTGGCTGTTGCCACTGCACAGTGCATGTCTACATAGCATGAACTTCAGCATTCATATATTCAATAAGTGCTGTGCTTGTATTACATCCCAGCATTAGTCTAATATATAATTGTTAGCAAGACAGGCAAAGTATCTGCTCTCATGGAGGTTATATTCTAAACAGGGAAGACAGACATCAATCAGTAAACCTTTTAGATTCTCAATAGTGATTAATTGAACTTTATTAATTGAACTTAATCTTATATTTCATAGCAGTGCATTTAAAAAAAAAGAGAGAAATAGGAAGGGAGAGGGATAGAGAGATAGAACATTGATGTCAGAGAAATACTGATCAGCTGCCTCCTGTACATACCCTACTGAGGATTGAGCCTGCAACCTAGGCATGTAGCCTGACAGGGAATTGAACTGGTGACCTCTTGGTACATGGGTCAATGCTCAACCACTGAACAACACCAGCCATAAGAATGCTCATTGCAACATTACTTATTATAATAGCAAAAAGACTGAGAAAATATGTATTCAACAATAACAGAATGAATATGTAAGGTATGATAATCATATAATGGAATAAAATAGTGTTTATAGTTCAAATGAATGAAAGGGAGCCATAAACGTAAAAATAAAAAGATATAGTAAACAATAGAATGGGAAACTACATGTTGTAAGATGACATACCCATGTATGGTTATATACATTTTAAAAACATACAAAACAATATTATACATTATAAACTGTATAATAAAAGTATAAGAGAAAGAATACCCACCAAATTTATGATGGTGGTGGCTTCAAGGATAGAAGGGAAGGGGTATGGAACTGAGAAGGGAAACAATGGGAACTTTACTAGAAATGCTTTATTTCTTTTATTAATAAAAAAAAGTTCTGAGACAAATATATCAAAATGTTAACATCTGCCCATCTTGCTAGTTGAACATAGTTTCTTAAAAAACATTAAATCTTCCTTTTCTGAATTAATTTCCCCTCAAAACTGAAAACAAATTATTGCCCTAAGTCTCTAATTGAATGCCTTCTCCAAAGTAACCAAAGTCCCAATCAAATTAGACATAAAAGCCACACATCCGCTTCTGGTAATCTTGCTATGCCACTACACTCACGGTTACATCTTTGTTCAAGATTTTGACAATGAAATGATAAGTTCGTTCTGCACAAGGCAATCAGCTAATCTAACTCATTATCCTGATTTGGAGTGAAGCAGACATTTATTTGAAGGACCGGGGTTGCTTTTGCTTTTATCCCTATGAACACCGTGTTCCTGTGATTAAAATCTAATCGTGTTTAATTTTCCTACTAACTCCTTAACAGCAGCACACCGCACTCCGCATCCATTACTTCCTTAACAGGGAGAAGCTTTTTCCAGTGTGACCGGAAGACAAAGGAAAGAGAGGGAGGAAAAGTTTTCCCTTCAAATGTTCCCAAGTTAAACCTCAGTTTCTCTTCTTTTAAAACAAGCTTTACTCTTGAAAAAGATCAATAATGTAGTTGTAAGCAAACTAATCACAAATATTTCCCTAGTTAAACAATACATAATGTTGGGAAATAAAAAATAAAAAAAGTCAAGAATAAGAAAAGACATTTTTTTCTCTTGACGTAGTAAGTGGCTTACATCCAATCTATGGGGAAGGTTCATTTACAAATAGTGGATTTAGCAATAAACCATACACATAACTTCATATATCTTAATAATAGTACATTATATTTGTAAGGTGCTTTGTAGTTCTATGATATTTTTTTAATCAGTATATCATTTGGTGCTCAAACAATGCACTCATTGAAACTCAGGCAATCTCTAGCCATCAAGGTCCTAGGATGGGCTGCCTGCTTTATTTAATAATTAAAAAAAAAAGTTAGTCTAGCTGGTATGGTTTAGTGGTTGAGTGTCCACCCACGAACTAAGAAGTCATGGTTGATTCCTGGTCGGGGCATGTGCCAGGGTTGCAAGCTCAATCCCCAGTCGGGGGTGGGGGTGGGGGTGACAGGCAGCCAATCGATGTTTCTATCTCTCTATCATCCCTTCTTCCCTCTAAAATCAATAAAACATATATATATATATATATATATATATATATATATATATATATATATATATTTAAAAAGTCAGCTGTGTTTAAGAAAACAAATACTTGTTCTACATGATGTGAAGAAAAATTGGCTTTTGCACCATATGGCTTAATAGTAATATTCAAGTTAAATTATGCTTAACTGCAGAAAAAACACACTTATGAATAGTTTTTAAAATCTGTTTATAGGTGAAGATTAGGTAGTTCACACGAAGCAAAACTACTATTTTTCAGTGAAATTTATAGTTTCCAGATCACCTTTTGCTAGCTCTCTGGGCACCCATTTCTCACTTTAGACAAACAATGCTGTTTTGTTTTTCCTACCAATCTCCCCAGATTTAAAGAGAAAAAGATCTAACCCCAGTTATTTATATTATTCACATTTGTGTATATATGATTTCTAATGTTGCATTTTAAAATCTTATTGTAATTGAAAACATCTCATCCTTGTTTAAAATTTTATAAATATAACCAAACAACTAGAAAATGCACAAAAAAAAACAATATTTCCAAGAACAGGGGAAAAAATCAATTAAAAATTTAATATTGAAACATCCGCATGCTCTCGGATCATGCTTTATGTTGGATATATGTTCAGTTCTAATATAGAATCCTTACCTGTAATGTACATGTGTGACAGTCGGTTTCCTGTATCCAAGGATCCAGGTTTGAATATCTATGGGTTGAGCCTTGGGATAAGCTATAGTTGTATCTATTATCCACTGGAGACCTTTTGATTTGCTATCTGAGAACAAAGAAAAAGCAACTTAAAATTGGATCAATTTTTATATTATTTACAACAAATAACTGCATAGGTTACTTGAGGAGTATAAAGCATATTGATATACCTTTTGCTTTAAGGAAACAGATGAATTTTGGTATTACTGTTCTATATGATGCACTTAGAATGAAGTATTTCCTATTATTTTATAAAACAGATAGATCTCAAACAAATGAACAATTCACAGCACTATTATGTATTACCAAGGTCTAGTTTTTTATATTTTATCACTCATAAAAAACTGGCCTACGAAAAGGTCCGAAAATAAAATGGCCTCAAAACCTTTCACTAAATACAACACAATATAGTATGAACACCAAGGTTTGTGACACCTGGGAGACATTAATAAATATTGTAATAAGGCAATACAAGTAAACATTTCATTGACACACATGATCGCTAGTTGCTGGTCTTGTCTGAAACAAAACTGAAAAACTCCTTCCATTGTAGCAGGAGTTACATACAATGAAATAACAGATAACTACCATTGTGAGAGGGAATGGAAGTGCTGTTTTTATTGCCAGCATGGAATATAATGTGAGCAAGAATTAGAGGGGAATCTTCACAGAGAATACTGATAGCCAGATGCTAACGTTTTATGGCTTATCTTTTATCTGAGGTATTTGAGATCCCTAAAAAAGAAAACTTATTTTCAAACATAAGTCCAAATGTACATTAGGAATAAATGATATTTTACTTGTTTATGTTAAATAATTATAAACTGGCCTTAAATGCTTAAAATTTTTTAGGCAATCCTGAAAGGGGGAGAGAGGATGCTTATAAAAAATAAGTAAAAAAAAATGTTTTCAATAACATAGTGCTAAAGAAACAGAGTTTATGTAACAAAACACATTTTGACAAGTTACCCATGACATGCATGCTGAAATGTTGAGGGGTATACTAATATCTGCAACTTATTTTGAGATGTACTAAAAACAAATAAGATAGACTAATGAATAGATACAAGGATGGACAGAGATATGATAAAGCAAATTACAGTAAAACGAGAAGCCCAATGCACAAAGATTCGTGCCAGAATGGGCTGCCAGCACCTGGCCAGAGCTGCCTTTCCGCCTTCCATGCTGACCAGAGGCCCAGAGGGTCTGGGGTGGTGCAGAATGCCTGTGTCGTCGCCATGGCAACAACACAAGCATCCTGCCCTACTCCCCACCACTCAATGCCTGAGTATTCAAATTAACCAGCCATTTTTGTTGGGTTAATTTGCATACTCACTCCTGATTGGCTGGTGGGTATCACAAAGGTACTGTCAATTAGCATGTTACTCTTTTATTAGGTAGATGTTAATTACAGAATCTAGTTGGTCAACTCATAGATATTAACTGTAAAAATGTTTTAACTTTTACATATGTTTGAAAAATTTTATAATAAAACCATGGGGGAGGAATCACAAGAGTTGCTTTTTAATATCTATTAAATGATACAATAAACAAAGAAAACCTAATCATTTAAAGTTAATCAGACATAGCTTAACTTTGAAATATATATGGATAACATATTTAAACAGACACAAAGACATGTGTGTTTGTATAGAATAAACCATTAAATAACTGATATGAACAGTCAACAAAATAAAATACTTAATACCAAAACATAGAGAAAAAAATTTGTAAAATACAAGTAAACTAGATTTTGAGTACACAATTTTCTAGAATCTAATTATTTTTCCTAAACAGAATAAAAATTTTAATTAAGGTAAGATAAGTAATTAACTACTTTGCTTCGGTTATAAGCAGAAGTTGTCTCATTCTCAAGGAAACCAACATTTTTCTTCATCATTGGTCATCTGTATGAAAATTGTCCCTACATCTGAGATCCACAACATCACAGAGGACTGACTGGGTAAAACGATTTAAAAACAGCCGTCTTAGTGAGTGCAACAAATCCTATTTGGAAGTCCTCTGCCTTCAAGTTTTGGCTTGGCTGACATTGCCACCGTGTCTCTCTAGCAGCAAAGCTATTCTGAACTTTCCTTTTCTATTAAAAGACTTTTCCAATTTGTCTTCTTAATAGATGATGAAAGATGAAGAGAGCTGTCTGCCAAGTATTCGCTTAGAGAAAAAAAATAATAATAAAAGGAAAACTCAGTGTAATGTCACAGGCATTATTTCTATGTCTGGTCCGTATTGTCATTTAAAAATACATATTTTTGAGGACCTATCATTTTTATTTTTACTTTTTCTAAAGAGTATTTTTTTAAAAATAGCAAAATGCTACTAAGGAAATAGGCCTCCTGAGTTTCTTTCAGCTTCTATCACCAAACTGTCATAGTGTCAAACTTGCTCATAACAGTCTTCACGTTGTTGGCACAAACTTGTCTGCAAATCTTCACAATTCACCAGGTTATCTCCAAGATTTGCAGTTGCATCTTTGAGTGTGACTTACTTTCTCCTGGCCATACAAGTAATATACTGGTATACTCATTATTTTAAAAAATACAGAAACAAACAAGAAATGAGAAAAAAAAAATCATAATGTTACAATTCACAGTTAATATTTTTATATCTTTCACTCATTTTCTACTGCCTTATTGTTTCTTTCTATCTTTGGGCTCAGATTGTCTGCACCAGCATTGTATGTTTCTCCCACTCCACTAACAGAGTGTATAAGTATCATTCCAAGCCAAAAAAACACAAATATCATTTATAAAGGCTGTGTTGTATTCTGCTGTATGGATACTTTATAATTACCATCCCATCTCATTTCTGGCTATTTTCAACTTTTTTGCTGTTATAAATAATGCTGTGACAAACGTTCAGACTATTTTTTTTTTTTAACTGATCTTAATTGTTGAAAGTAAAGATTATTTCCTTTTAATAAGAATTTTTTGCAGTGGGGTAACTGAGTCATTTATCAACATTTTAAGGTTATTAAATAATGCCAAACTGTATTAAATTCATTCTCTGCATTAAAAAAAAACTTGCTAAATTTTATAAGTGAAAAAATTTTCATTACTACTTTTATTTGCATGTCTATTTTTAGTTTCACAAACTAGTCACTTCTCTCTCCCTATGTCTTTTACTCTAGCTATTCCACTTCTAGGAATCTACACCTCAGAAATACTTCCACAAAAATGTAAATATATTTACAGGAGCTTTTACCATAGCAATGAGAATCACAAGGAGTAAAAATAGGGAAGGGAAGGGAAAGATAACTTTGACTTCATACATTTCTGTATTATTTGAATGAATTATTGTAAGCATGAACTACCTTTGTATATAGAAACAACCTTTAAAATTGTATTTCAGCCAAAACCGGTTTGGCTCAGTGGATAGAGCGTCGGCCTGTGGACTGAAAGGTCTGACGTTCGATTCCGGTCAAGGGCATGTACCTTGGTTGGGAGCACATCCTCAGTAGGGGGAGTGCAGGAGGCAGCTGGTTGATGTTTCTCTCTTATCGATGTTTCTAACTATCCATCCCTCTCTCTTCCTCTCTGTAAAAAATCAATAAAATATATTTTAAAAAATTGTATTTCATCTTCTCTCCGAGTATCATTTCTATTTGACAAAATTATAAATATAGAAAAGAACGACGTTATCTGGAACTCCAGAAAATCCTTAATTCAACAAAGGCAAAAAATGCTAACAACCATCATACCTAATTCTTTAACATCTCCACCTGCTGGACTTCCATTTTGCTGTCGTGCCACAAGTACATTCAAAATAATTTGTGTTGCTCCAATCCTTGGCAGAGTGACATGTGTAAGAAATGGCAAGTTTTTTTTCTTGGCAAATGCCTGACTTGTTTCCCGCCTCTTCCTGAGGAAGCCCCCTTCTGGAAATAAAACAATCCATTTTCGATCTCTGTTCCTGTAATTATTTTCTAGGTGCTTCCTGAGAAGAAGAAGCTGTTTGTCACGATGAGATTTTCCCTAGAAGGTAGACACACATAATAAGTATAGGTATATGTGACATTAAACTTCTGTAAAATTAAATAGTAGTAACAGCTTCTAGAGTAAAATCCAATCATAGACTAGAATGGTGATTTCCCTCAACTTACCACCTATCTTGACCAAAGTGGTAAAAAGAAGTTATTAGTATTATATAAATAAATCCTTCTTTCTAAAGAAAAAAAAAATGCTTTAATTGCCCCTGAAAGTTCATTCATTCATCAATTCCGTGACTGTTTACTGAGTGTCTCCACCTTGCTGGGCAATGTCCTACTGATGGGGGTGTGGGGGATCTTATAATCTGATAGATAGAGCACCTGCATTAATCTGAAAAATAACCATATTACTTTTAAATCCTAGAATACATATACTTATATGTGAACAGAGGGTTAAATTTCTTATATGGGAACAGAGGATTACGTTTTATTTCTTAGGCCGTTGCACCTGCTTACCTCCTTTGATCACGAACAAAGTGATTGATGAAGTGACTCAATTGTGGACAATGGACAATGTACCCAGCAAGCAAGCAGACCATTAAGCATGGTCAGGCCAACCCCATAAAGAGTCAAGACATCATCTCATCATCTGATGACCAAGAACAATAGCTGAACTCTGCAGACCTCCGGGACTCCATGTAGCTGCATTTCGGCCTCACCCTAGCCATTCCCCTCGATAATCCTGTTCCCTGCACCTTGCTGTAAGACAAACTCCCTATCTTCTTGGCTGGCTGGCCTTCTCAATAAACGCCTGATATGATTCAACCCTGTCTGCGTTATTGGACATTGCCACAGGCAGCCCAAGCCCACCTGTGGGTTTCCCAGAAACACTAAACACCAGAGACAGAGAAGTAAGCGACCCTCATATAGGTTACTCAAGTGGGGAAGACAGAAAATGAGTGAAAATTCAACTGGCGATAAGTTTTAGGAAGAAAGAATAAGATTACAGAGAGAGTCAAGATGTTCAGAGAGCCCAGGCCAGGATGGCTCAGTCGTTGAGTGTCGTCCAATGCACCAAAGGTCAATGGGGAGAATGTAAACAAACAAAGGGGACATCTGTAATACTTTCAACATAAAGATAAATTTTTAAATTATTTTTTTAATTTTTACTTATTTCAGAGAGGAAGAGAGAGGGGGAGAGAGAGAGAGAGAGAGAGAGAAACATTAATGATGAGAGAGAATCATTGATTAGCTGCCTCCTGCATGCCCCCTACTGTGGATGGAGCCTACAACCTGGGCTTGTGCCCTTGACTGGAATTGAACCTGGGACCCTTCAGTCCACAGGCTGATGCTCTATCCACTGAGCCAAAACAGGTAGGGCCATAAAGATAAATTAAAAAAAAAAAAATCTACTGGCTCTAGTGACAAAAAGATTAAGGAGATAAATTAGAAGACTTCTGCAATTGTCCAGACAAAGGTATTTGACTATGGTCCATTGACATATGGTACACTGATATTTGACTATGGTCCATTGACATATGGTACACTGATATTTGACTGTGGTACATTGATGAGAGGTGAATTACATTCAGGAAGAAAAAAAAATTGAAAGTCAAGTTAACAAGACAAGATGCACTGGATTTTAGGGAACGAAAGAGGGTCTTAGAGAATGAAAAGAGGAATCCAGAAAAAATTTCATGAAGTCCCAAAACCCACAACTAAATATTACAAAGGTTCTTCCTTCCAGTATGATCAATTCACTAATAATTTTCCAGCCAATGCAATTACAGAAGCTCCCTAAAATAATCTGTAAGCTTTCAGTCTTGAAATTATTCCAAATGCAAAACAGTAAAACATTTTCTTAGCTAATTTACTGAATTGAATTATGATTAAGCTTCATGTATGTAAGTTCCCAAGTCTACTTGTAAAATATTTTTAATATACTTGGAAATAACTTGTCAAAATCATCTAGTAGCAAAGTCCCAAGAGATTTTCTTTACCATTAATGTATTTTCCTCTCCCCTCCATCCATATTATAGGTTTTGCTACTATCTAGCAAAGAATTTACAAATCTCTCTGATATTAAAGTATGCAAGACTATATACTGTAATAAAAAATGCTTTAGAGTGCATTATTTTCTACTTTTATCCTCTCAAAGAACACCAATAATTTAGTATAACTTAGCCTCTTTTTGTTAACTGAGAATCATATTAGGATCACTTATTATACCATACTACACTATAAATTCAATAATTTCCTTAGAATCCCATGATGCAAAAGACGCAGCTAGTTTTTATTTGGATTCCCCTAAACTGCTATGCTTCAATTATTGAGATACTCTGAAATATTAGGCTAGTTTCTTTGTTGTTCTGGTCACTATTTATTTTGTCTCAACTTTGTGGCCAATCCCCACTTCCAATTCTTCCTGAGATTCCAGAGCATAATCTGTTCATCTCTGCTCAGAAGAACAAGGGTGTTTCCAGAAGAAACCAGATAATTGCATAGCATGTGAAAAACAAAAATGTGTTCTGTACATAAAACTATCTGAAGTAAAGAATATATGTTTTATGACACCTATTTTCACAGAGCTTAGAATTTTCTTACATACTTCTAGTTTATTTCTTAATTTGTGGTTCTTAGGAAAGATTTATTTAGATTCACTAGTTATTCATTAAGTACTTATTATGTGTAAGGTACTGTGCAATCCTGGTTTAATTTGCCAAATATATAAACACCAGTTCAAGTGTGGCATTATCACACATAAAAACGCTTGCATATTTCAGCTGCCCATTTCTGAGAAAATAAAGTGTGTGAAACCAGTAGCATACAGGAGGGAGATACTATAACGTAGTGCTGACTTGATAAAAGGCTGTGATACTTTTTCCTACACACTAAATTATTCCTAATGCTTGGGACTCAATCCCAACCCACCTTCTTTTATCAAACCCATACTCATTCTCTGTATGCATACCAAATATCTTTTCCTCTAAGGTTTTTCTGGATTCACAGAAATTTGATGTACTCACTTTTCCTACTATGAATTCTCAAAATATTTCCTTTTATTTATTTAATAATTTCTCTACTGCTAATTTACATACCTCATATAACAGTGACTACATTGTAAATAAAAATAATAGTGATGATATAGATGATGGTAGTGGTGATCATGACAAATATGACGACAAAGGTAGCAGGTCCTGTGCTGAGTGCCTCACAGGTAGTACTTCATTTAATCCCCACAATCCTATGAGGGGAGCACCTATTACTCTCAGTTGAAAAATGAGGCAACTTTGAGAGTTTAAATAACTTGCCCAATTCACATAACTACAAAGTAGAGGAGCTGAGAATATGGTAGGTGCTTGATAGGTATTTATTGAACGTTGTACTGTTTAGATGGGAGGAGGAGAGTAGAGATTAGAATGTTTACAAAATCAGCCCTTTAATGCTTATGCGGACTCAAGCTCAGATTGAAATAAATGATTTAGGAATAAAGAGTCAGAGGAACACTCCCTGACTTCACCTGCTCTAATTGGTTTTTTATGCCTTTCTGTATAATAAAGAACCAGTTTGATCAGGCTATCACTGTGGGGGGAGCTCATTACTCACCTGTCTTATAAAGAAGTCTCCATGAATTAGAGAAACAATTCCGAAGTTTGTATACTTAAAAATATGATCCATCAACCACATCATTTGAGCAACAACCTGAAATATTTAAAAACAAGAAATAATTAAATGTTGTCTATAGTCTAGACAATTCTCTGTTGAGAATACTTTCTTTTGAATGTACCATGGACTATGAAATAAATCCAGTAAACAATCCTACTTGTAAATATAAATTAATACTGCCCTAACTTATTAGACAATAAGAAAAGATAATACTTTCTGCTCTGTATTTCTCAATTACTCCTTTATGAAAGATTTTAAAATTTCAAATTGTCCAATAATATCATATCATAAAAAATGTTTAGTATAAGTACTCAGAAAACAAAAACAAAATTACTCTGAACAGAAAAAGAAACCGTAGACAAACTAACTGAAATCTTTTTACAAAGAAAACTTTCTTTTGTCCACATTATTGATGAATTTCAGATTAGCTATGTTTGGTTAATACAGTTATCATCTATGTCAAACTGGAGTTAGAATAATAAGGTTAGGCATATTTATATGGACCATTTGAATTATTCTTTGAGATTCAAAACTAATTAAGGACATTGAATAATCACTATAAGTGTAATTATCATATCAGTAAGAATAAAAATAGTAATTTTTGATAGGGGATTTTTGATACAAAGCCAAATAAACTAATTTTTACAAAATTTTAACATTATGAATTTAGGAGACAGGCAATAAATATTACTAGAAGTACAAACATACCTAATACAGTGATATATTTTTAACAATTCAAGATTCTGAATTGAAGAAAGGATTGAATTTATTCTACATTCCAGCAAGATAATACCTCTGCTTTTCAGATAAATAAGAAAAGCAGACTCCATAATAATCAAACATATTTTCCTTGACTCTCACCTCATTTTCTGACCCCTGACCTACTGAATAAAAATCTCTAGGATCTAAGCATCCCAGTCTTATTCATGCCTTGGTATTTGGCCAAAACTTTCTCTAAAGAACAAGGCCCTTGTTTCATTACTTTGCCTTATTAAAATTCTCCTTCAAGGTCAAGTTTATGTCCTCTTCCCTCCACAGAGTTTTCTATATCCATCCAGTACATTTTGAGCTCACCTGCCACTGAATATTTCTCACTGTGTAATTATGTATTGCTTGCTATACCCTCCCTCCACCTATCACTGGCCTGTTAACTCCTTTAAGAGTAGAAGAGTGTCTCATAGGATGGTATTCTATATTTATAATCACTGACCATGAATATGAAGTAATCAATAAATTCCTACTAATTTGTTTATTTACCATTAGGCCAAATATTGGCTCTATTAACTTTATATACTTTCTATTTATTTCGTTTTCTATGAATAGAACCTCGTTAACTTCTCCTAAGGTGATAATTCCTTTCATACTAAAAACAATTTATTTTATACCCATCTAGTATATAAATCTATTTTAGTTATCATAGAAGCATGTAAATCAAGAGTTCACACAGAGCCTTAGCAACATTAAATAAAATGAGTCTGATATTTTCTTTTCAATATGCTTTACAAATGAAATCCAAAATAGTATTTGCCTTATTTTCCTTTGGCTAAAGATCCTCAAATTCACTGACCAACTTTATTCTTCCATCTTAAGGAATACTGCTTTTTGTGTGTGTATTTCTCTAACTGGCAATTTACCACTTTACCTCAAGATAGCCCCCAATTTTAACCATACTAACTTTATTAACAAAACAGCTTTATGGGGATATAATTCACATTTATCCCCGTTATTTCTCCCCCCTAAATTCCTCTTCTGGAGTAACTCAGAATTACATATTTTTTCTTCTAAATTTCTCTGAATTTTCAGGAAAAATATACATGTTAAAGTCTATGTTCCAAACCATAAGGTACTTGAATTGGTTCGGTTAACCTCCCCTTTCTGCTGTCCACTTCCGCCATCAGGATGGCTTACCAGCCCTTTGTCCTGGAGGCACATCATCAGAGTGCACACGTCTCCTGTTGCCTGATGATTCACCAGCATTACTGCTTCATCGTCCATAACTGCTTTAACATCGTCCCCCCATTCCATCACTGTGAGAACAAACAAGCTGTCATTTTAAAGATTTTTACATTACTAAAAACCTTATATTAGAAAAACATATCTATTAATAATGATACAACACTTAGCTAAAACTTCTGCAACTTCAGAACTTTATTTCTTATAAAAATCAGAATATTGATATAACATTTTGCAGAGCCCCCAAACATCCATTAAAATATAAAATGGTCAGACTCTTTGATCTAGCAGTTCTACTTCTTAAAATTTATCCTATAGAAACATTTGTCCACCTAGGCAAAGAGATATGCATAAAGGATGTTTATGGCAACTTATATGTTCATTAATAAAAGAATGGATAAGAAAATTATGATATAATGGAAGAGTATAAATCCATTAAAAGAATGAGGGTATTTCTATACCCTCACCCAAAAAGGACTTATCAAGTAAACAGATAAAAATCATAAAACAGTGTATATAGTACACTGATAGTATATAGTACATATTTTTAAGTAAGAAATAACATTTATATGTTATAAATACAATGAAAAAAAGCCTAAGGGAATGAATCCCAAACTATTAATACTGATCGTTATTAGGAAATGAGTCCCAGAGCCCTTCAAATTCTGTTTTAGAAATAATATATACAAATATTACAAAAACATGTTAAGTATTTTCATTTTAAAATAAGAAAATAAAGATGTTACATTTATTAAAAATCTCCAGATAAAAAGTCATTGAGCCAAAACCTAAGTGTACACTCTAAGGAAAACCAGTGGTGTCTGCATGAGGTTATGCCTTATTTTATAGAAAATTTACCTCATGGAAAAAAATAAAATTGAACACCAGTTTTGAACATTAGTATCCCAAAGAAGCCTGCGACATGAATGATCAGAGGCTGATTATACATCAGTATTGGCTCATCTCACTCACGGCTGCAAGGAAAGAAGTCAAGGCACCTGTAGGTCATCGTTCTGGATGAAATAGGGATGAGGAAACCTGGAGCCACTTGCTCACCTCCTCCAGCCTCCCTCTCTCCCCCACTCCCTCCCCCACTCCCTCCCTCCCCCCTCACGCTTCACTGTCACTCCGCTACAACTAAGCTCCTCATGACAGAGTGGAGCTCTTCAGAAGAGCTCAGTAGAAAGGGGTGCTGCTCATTTTTTCTTTCTAATGGATGCCTTGCTTAAATATTTTATTTAACATTCATTTCAGATCTCTTAACATTTTTAATAAGAAAATTTTCGGCTGGGTTGAACATACAGGGTGGGGAAAAAGCAGTTGTTTGTAAAGAAAATAATACAATAATTAATAAATAACAATACAAGAATACACTTGTTTTACATGCTCACATCTATAAACCTACTTTTGCCCCCACCATGTATATTAAGTTGTGATTCCCACTTGCAAAGTGAGGTATTCCAATCACTCTATTAGATATAGTACTAATACTCAAATAGCTTACACTGTGTGAGAAAAATTTTTATTTATTTATTTATTTATTTATTTATAGTCCTCACTTGAGGATATTTTTTTCATTGATTTCTAGAGAGAGTAGAAGGGTGGGAGAAGGAGGAAGAGGGAAGAGGAGAGAGAGAGAGAGAGAGAGAGAGAGAGAGAGAGAGAGAGAGAGAGAGAGAGAGAAACACACAATGTGAGAGAGACACGTTGATTGGTTGCCTCTCTCAGAAGCCTTTACTGGGTCTTGGGAACCTACAATAGGAATTGAACCCTCAACCCTTTGGTCCTCAGGCCGATGCTCTAACCACTGAGCACACTGGCTAGGCAATTTTTAAAATGAATGCAGTATGGACACTGCATCTCAGGATGTTAAGTAATTTGTAAGGAATGAGATGGAGGAGAGGTAGAACAGTGGGAGAGCCCAGGCTCCTGCACCACCGAGTAGCACTAATTTCCCTCCACAGTGCCCATCCTTTCCCAAGTTTCCTATTCAGTTTGGCTGACATGCTAACTTTACTGAAACATATTTAAACTACATCATTCATTACTGGGGGAATAGGAATTGGTGCAATAATTTTGGCAATATATCAAAATTAAGAAATGTGAAAATTTTTACCCAGCTATTTTATTCTAGGGATTCATCTTACAGAGTTACTTACTCATGCAAAATGACATGTACCTAAGGCTATAGCAACATTGTTTTTAAGAGCAAAGATAGAATAGGAGGATAAACTAACTAAAATGTATCAAAATCGAAAAAATGGTGGTTTCCAGGAGGAAGTTGTTTAATTAGTATAGAGTTTTGATTTTGTAACATTAAAAATTTCTGGAGTTTGGTTATATAATAATGTGAATATATTTAATACTGAATCATACACCTAAAAATGGTTAAATGGTACGTTTTATGTTATATGTATTTATCACAATTAAAAATAAAAAAGAGCCAAAACTGGTCTGGTTCAGTGGATAGAGCGTCGGCCTGCGGACTGAAGGGTCCCGGGTTCCATTCCGGTCAAGGGCATGTACCTTGGTTGCGGGCACATCCCCAGTGGGGTGGGGAGGTGTGCAAGAGGCAGCTGATCAATGGTTCTCTCTCATTGATGTTTCTAACTCTCTATCCCTCTCTCTTCCTCTCTGTAAAAAATCAATAAAATATATTTTTTTAAAAAGAAAGACTAGTTAAGTAAATTATAGTATATCTGTGCAATAGAATATTATACAATTATAGCATTTGTATACTGATATAGAATAACACACTATAAGAAAAGCAAAGTATAGAATAGTGTGTGAAGAACGCTATCAATTGGGTTTTTAAAAAGGAATGAGGAGAATTCATTTACTAAATGAAAACTCACCACATCCTGCCTCTATTGACAACCCCTCAATGGAAACACACACACACACACACACACACACACACACACACACACACACCATTCTTTTATTAATTCATTCCTCATTCAGTAAATCAGCATCAGAAAATGTTAAGTGTCATGGGTTTAAAACAAATAAGAACGAAAGTATTATTCTAACAGCAGTTGAAACACTTCAGAAAAGTCTGGATGAAATAGGGATGAGGAAACCAGGAGCCACCTGCTTCACCTCCTCCAGCCTCTCTCCCTCCTCAATCACACTTCACTGTCACTCCACTACAACTAAGCTCCTCATAACAGAGCGGAGCTCCAGAATAGTCCAGCTCGTTCTATAAATATTGAGCTGTGTGGAAAGTCTTCTGGTCCCACATCTATATAAATAGATATTTCATAATCACATATTTCTTTAATGCAATCTCTGCTACATAAATGGAACACACTAGAGCCCTGGCCAGAGTGGCATGGTTGGTTGGAGCGTGGTCTCGTGCACGGAAAGGTCTCAGGTTCCACTCTGTCAGGGCACATACCCAGGCTGCGGGTTCAGTCTCTGATCAGGATGCATGCAGGAGGCAATCAGTTGATGCTTGTCTCTCCCATGGATGCCCCTCTCTCTCTCTCTCTCTCTCTCTCTCTCTCTCTCTCTCTCTCTCTCTCTCTCAAATCAAATTTTAAAAAATGCTTTTTTAAAAAAAGAAAGAAAATACTAGTTACCTAGGGGAAGCATGTATGTAAATATAACTGCAAATGAAAATGCTTTTTACATAAACTGTATCTTACCTGTCTGCTTTTATATAAAGTGTGTTGGTTTAAATCTCAAAATACAAATTAAATTTAGAACCCTCTGTACTGGGTTGAATAATGTCTCCCCATAATTTACATCTGTCCTAAATCTGTGAATTTGGCCTTATTTAGAACAGGTCTTTGCAGATATAATCAAGTTAAGATGAGGGTAGGCCCTACTAACCCTAAGTCTAATATGACTGTCGTTCTTAAAAGAAGTGGGAAATTCAGACACAAATACAGAAGAAGAGTAACATGAAACAACGGAGGCAGAGATTAGAGTGATGTGTCTACAAGCCAAGGATTGTGGATAACCAACAGAAGGAAGCAAGAGGCAAGGAAGGATCTTCGAGAGCCTTCAAAGAGCATGGCCCTCCCAACACCTTCATTTCACACTTCTCATCTCCAGACCTATGAGAGAATACATTTCTGTTGGTTTAAGCCACTAAGTCTGTGGTGCTCTGGTATGGCAGGTCTCAGAACCTAATATACCCCACCCACCTCAACCCCTCATCTTCTCTCTTTTCCATTCGATTCCCCCACAAATTAGTGTGTGTGTGTGTGTGTGTGTGTTTTAAATCAAATATAGGAAAAGAACTGTATTATACTTTTAAACATCTAGACATTTCAATAAACATCTAACATTATTATAAATGGTTCTCAATGTTCATCTTTATAATACTTTCAAAGTAAAAATAGAGTTACTAATCCACTACACAAATTTTATCTCTCAGCCATATCTTAGCCAAAGGTATTTTCAAAATAAATGTCAATTTACTAAGACTCACATGGCATATTAACTAAATCAAACAAGTGAAGGTACTGGATCAACTTTTTATTAAGAAATTCTGATGTAGCAAAAAGTCGTATAATTTTGTAATAATTTAAATATTATTCAATAATAAACTTAATATATAATATATATGGTATTCTTCTTCTACTATACTTTTACCACATTATATACTTCAAAGATGACTGTTATAGAGTTATATGACTAACAAGATCAAAATAAAATGCTTAAAGAGAAAAAACATTTATTTTATGTATAAAATACTATGTTCCTCAGAGCATATCTGCTATCCCAGAACCAGTAAGTATAATAATGGAGCCAATAGCTTAACCAAGGAATAGAATTATTTGCATGTTACAGAATTGAAGCTATGGATGCCTGCCAGTTCTTGCATTGAACTTGATTAGAAGAATAAAAATATTTTAACACACTGTTCTGTAAAATGAATTCTCAAAAAATAATTGGGTCATGTCCACTAGTTCCAAAGGGAATAAAGGGAAACTGAATAAAAACTAGAAGAGAAGTTTGCTAGTTGTAACGGAACTTTGAAAATTCTTGTTAAAAACCACGGCCAAAGATGATCACCTACTACTACTACTACTACTACTACAACACACACACACACACACAC